TGCGACAGGCAAATGAAGTGCTAAGCAAGCGCCGGAGAGCTAAAAAAACACGGCTACAGCAAGGAGGATCACTTAGTCAACAGGTAGCACAGGAGCTACAGGACGAGAGAGACGTTGTGCAGCAAGTAGAGCAAGAAATAAGGGCAAGTAGTGGTCGGAAGCCAAGGGAAGAAACCCATGCACGTCGCTGTGGCAAGTGTGGTGAGACTGGACACAATGCGCGCACTTGTCAGATTGTAATAGACAGGTCTGAGGAAGAGGACTCCGAGTAGTTTTAATTAATTTATATTATTGTGGTGGATTTATCGCAATTCTTATGGGGTAGTCGCGATATTTTGGCACTTTCGCTTGTTTGGCACTTTCGTTATACATGCACGTTATAAGACATGACACCACTATATAAGTAGATAAGGAAATAGCATTACAACGAAGCTCCTATCTAAGGAAATACTATATACTTATATAGTAGCGTTGTTAGCTGTAGATGAAGAGAAGAATAGTACGTTAAGTTAAATGCCATAACGTAGGTCATGGCGTAAGTCATCTAATGGCATAAATCGTGTAATTCACCCCACCACCACCTAGAACCCTTTGGGTGAGGGTGGAGGGGGTGGGATGAGGATGAGGATGAGGATGAGGATGAGGATGAGGATGAGGATGAGGATGAGGATGAGAACTCAGGGGTAAGTCAGGGGTAAGTCAGGGGTAAGTCAGGGGTAAGTCAGGGGTAAGTCAGGGGTAAATCAGGGGTAAGTCAGGGGTAAGTCAGAGGTTAGCACCTCACTGACTTTTTAGAAACAAAGAATAACAAGATCAATGCTTGGAAGCTTGGAAAGTATGTGCTAATCGATTTACTGTATCGTCTGCTTGCCCTTTCTTAAGGAAAGGGCAATCCTATTTATGCCAAAGGAGTGTTGTTCTCTCATTTTCCAAGACTTTCCATGACTAACCAGGCTTGGTAAGTGTATTAGAAATCAAGTGCGACCCACAACTAGCTTGCTAATCATGTAGCGAACGTAAGAGAATCCCATAGAACCATCTCTTGTGTTCCTAGCCTATAGGAAGTGAAAGGAGGTCCAAGGTCGATATGCCATGTGGTAGTATTGGCCCACCCCCTTAAGGAGGAGATTTTCTTAATAACTTGTTCAATGAGTGTCCAAATGATATGCTGTGATATATGTAGCATAAACAGATGTAGTAGAAGAGTTTGCAGCAATCGTTGAGTAGTATTGCTCTTGTTGTTGGTGTGATAAGCAAGATATGTATGGTGACTTGTAGGTTTGAGGAGGAGATTTCTAAGTTTGCTCTTGAGTTTGATAGCAAACTGAGTGCAACAAATGTCAGTATGACATAGTCATCGCATTTTACAAGAGGTTGCATACGAAATCTGCACCAACCGCTGTCACATCTTCTAACTGTCTGATAACAGACGCATCCCAAACACACCTAGCATCACATACACACAAATTCCAAACCTACCTTTAGGATAGGAGTGAGTTCTACATTTTATTAGATGACATCCGCACCTACAAGTACGACTAGGAAGACAGATCGAATCACATATAACATAGATGAGACTGGCTTTTCAATTAGGACTATAGAATGTAGTCGAATCATTGTTGATTCTACACTCTATACATGCCATTAAGCACACTAAGGCTGTTAATAATGGGTGTCTGTAGTTGAATGCATCTGTATAGATGGCAAGGTCTTAACATTCTGTAAAGCTAGATTCTACAGGATGTTATTGATAAATGGCACTTCTCTGCAAACAAGAAAGGATAGACAAGTAATCTACATAGAGTTAAATGGTTAAAATGTGTATTCGAGCTAGCAACACGTGTAAAGGCAGATAGAGGACAACGCCTTCTTATTTGTAATAGCCATGATAGCTATATAAGTGGAAAATTTATATCACACTACATACAGAATCACATCTTGATATTTTTGATACTGTCTTTCAGAACAGTAGCCCACCTGATTTCACTACATTACGAAAGGTGAATACTGTCCTAGGGATAGCGTTAGACCTTTGTATAGCTGATGCTACCAAGCGACTCAACACACGCAATTTCCTACAATAGCATGAAGCTGAGAATCTATGATTAATAATTCAAACACAGAGGACATAGAACAAGAGTAAATGCGTAATTTTAAATGGTTAGTACCACATTTCTATAGAGGAATTACATACGCAAGTTCTAGAGGCTAAGGAAGCCACCTGTTATGGCTTACCCTACCTATAGCGCTAAGTTAAGGAATATGTGAGTTAGGAAAGGCTATGGTCATGAGTCACATATGAGTTATGAAGCAGTCATGAGACTAGGACCACGTATCAATCTTACATGGTCTATAGACTAGACAGGATCTGTGAGTCATAAGGAGGTCATAGGATGCGACCGATCCTACATAGTCTATAGACTAGACAGGATCTGTAAGTCATAAGGAGGTCATAGGACGCGACTGATCCTACATGGTCTATAGACTAGACAGGATCCGTAAGTCATGAAGATGTCATAGGACACAACTAATCCTACATAGTCTATAGACTAGACAGGATTAGTAAGGCATGACGCTACTATATAAGTAGATAGTATTTCCTTAGATAGGAGCTTTGTGCTCAACTTAATATAGTATTCTTTACAATACTATAATGTGTTACTTAGAAAGCCTTTGTCTTTAATCCTCTACCTCCTCTGTTAAGTCAACCTTACGTAAGAACCCTCTATATCTTTGTAAGGACACAGGGCACCCAGCTCACAGTAATAGCATAAGAGAGTGCGAGTCAGAGGCTAAACGGATGCTATCCTATAGGTCTACTATGAAGGATACAAAAAAGATGATGAGGAACCCCGTTGGGTCAATCCCCTTAAGTACCTGAAACAGGTCCGACTCGGCTAACCTGCCCTAACTCTCCCCACGTGACCGTAACCTGTCCAACTCAGATCCCTTCCGTCACTGAGGGTGCATCCTTACAGTCTTCTATCATTTAGAATTTAGCATTACACCATCTAATAGAAAGCAACAAAAGTTAGAGCTATAGGCGTAAACCGTGCTCTAACTGAACTAATTAAAGAGGAAAATGTTAGAGATGACCTAGATGTAACGCTGACTTCTAAACGATAGAAGACACAGAGGTTCTCTTGCGTAAAGGTTTACTTATCAGAGGAGGCAGGGGATCAGACACAAAGGCTTCAAGTAACACGTTACTAGTATATAACAAATACTGTATTGAGTTGAGCACGAAGCTCCTATCTAAGGAAATACTATCTACTTATATAGTGGCGTCGTGCCTAGTGGACTCCTGGGAACTCACTCGAGTCCTCGGAGTCCTGGACTCTTAGGATTCTTCTCATCATCCTGCGAGTCCGTCACGTGCCTAGTGGACTCCTGGGAACTCACTCGAGTCCTCGGAGTCCTGGACTCTTAGGACTCTTCTCATCATCCTGCGAGTCCGTCACGTGATACTTTCAGAACTACTATTCCCCGCTGCCCCTCCAGGTACCAGGGCCGGTCTCATGCGACCTCCCTCCTTCCTGTCCTGTAGTTGGCCAGCCTTCTTGTTCCGTCGTAACACTAGAGGAGGAATTAGACTACATTGTAGTTGAGTACTAAGCTAATAAATTCATTGTTTCCAGCCTAAGTGGTGGTGGTAGGGTGAACTACGCGATTTACGCCATTAGACGACTTACGCCATGACCTGTGTAGGCGTGTACCAAAAGTCCTTGCCGGGCAGGGGTATAGCCTACCCCTGTCAAAATGAGCACTCACAATACTTGCACCTGTAGCTTCATAAAATGAGAATCAATTATAATAGTTAATAGTTCCTACGTGCCTTGCCATGTGTAGATATATCACTAACCCCTTCCTTATATCCATTTCCTCCTTCGAGTCTAATAACCTCTTGAATATGGCGTGGAATCCTCTCAATCCACGCCTGTATTCTGGGTTGTTCAAGCTCCTCCCATGCCTTTTTCCACACGATTTCTGCAGTCTTCTGAGTTGTAGGAGGCCCTTTACGAGTAGTAACCTGCTTCATAAATGGCCAACAAGGCTCAATCATATTAAGGTCAGGCGAATTACCTGGCCATAATAGCCGTTGAATATCAAACCTATCAAAGACAGCCTTTTGCCACTTTTAGACCTTTAGATGGAACCATTAGCCAAAACAATGCTGTTTCATCCATACTGTATATATCCTCCTCTTGATATTCTCCAGCGAGAGTTTGTAAAGCCTTCATATCCTCTTCTGTAGACTTGCTAACAGATCCTGCCTCGCCGTGATTTGTATGCTGTCGGATGTTGTGTCGCTTCTTGAATCGAGACAGCCAACCAACTGAGAAATCAGGTATAGGCAGCGTTGAATACTGTGGAAGTTGCTGCCAAATCTGCCTTGCTCTTTCCTTCAAAGCCTCTCCACTTGTGTTTCCACCTCGGCCTTTAATCTGCTTTTGCCAAGCGAAAAGGATCTCCTCAAGGTCAGGCCATGTTCCAGTGCGGAGTCGAGCAGCTGTTGAGATAGCTGAGGAGTCGTCGACACTGTCAAAATGCTTGCTGAGTGACTCTGAGACTGTTGATTGACTGAGGGAATGGTTGTATTTGTCCTTAAACCACCGCTGACAGGCCTTTTGTGAGGGTCGAGGGTATTGTCGAGAATGCCACTCTCTGAGTGCACGACGCTGCTCAATAGTGATGGGCTTATTTCGAGGCATAGCCAAATGGTCCACTAGAATATCAGATAAGGCGATATTTAGGTGGCAACAGAGCAATATCATGGATATTGGTTGTTGTACGTGTTTTGAATCGCGAACATCGCCCTACTGAGCATCGGCTTAGCGGGACTCTACTGTAGCACACGAGCAGCCAACGGGCGTAGCTCCATCTGTCCTTACGCTTTGCCTTATTTTGACTTCCCGTGATTGACCGCCTCCCGATTTATCTCATTCTGCCAACATCAATTTCCCAAGTACGGAGTAGTTTCCGGATATCTACCCCGCCACCAGCATCTCTCACCAACTTCACCTCGCCAACAACACCCATGCTGGGCGATTTCGATTCATCATATACACCATGTCGCCGTCATTAGAAGAACCTACCGCCAGCGATGTCCTCGATGTCATAAAAAACCCACTCAAGGCCGCGCCACAGCTAGTCGCCCCAGAGCCAGAACACTGTGTAGGCCCCGAGTCCGAACAAGCCGGCACCGCAGATTCCTGCGCGGGTTGCCCTAACCAAGCCATCTGCGCCTCTGCACCGAAGGGTCCTGATCCCGATATACCTCTAATAACGGCGCGCCTTGCATCCATATCACATAAAATCCTCGTCCTCAGTGGCAAGGGCGGCGTGGGCAAGTCCACCTTCACCACCCTCCTAGCGCACGCCTTCGCGCGCAACCCCGCCTCCACAGTCGGCATCATGGATACAGATATATGTGGACCCTCGATCCCCAAAATGATGGGCGTGGAAACCGAGACTATCCACGTCAGTTCCTCTGGCTGGAGTCCGGTCTGGGTCGCCGACAACCTCGCCGTCATGTCTGTCCAGTTCATGCTTCCTTCCCGCGACGATGCTGTTATCTGGCGCGGTGCAAAGAAGAACGGATTAATCAAGCAATTCCTCAAGGACGTCGAGTGGGGCCCCATGGATTTCCTACTTGTGGATACTCCGCCAGGAACATCCGATGAGCATCTCAGCGTCAATGCATTCCTCAAGGAGAGTGGCGTGGATGGCGCGGTTGTGGTCACCACGCCACAGGAAGTTGCGCTCCTGGATGTGCGTAAAGAGATCGATTTCTGCCGTAAGGCAGGCATCAAGGTCTTGGGGCTCGTGGAGAATATGTCGGGGTTCGTGTGCCCAAAGTGCACGCACGAGAGTCAGATCTTCCAGGCGACGACTGGAGGAGGACTCGCGCTGGCAAAGGAGATGGGCATTCCATTCCTTGGGTCCGTGCCACTGGATCCGCGAATCGGAATGAGTTGTGATTACGGAGAGAGCTTCTTCGATGCCTATCCAGAGAGCCCGGCTTGTGAGGCATTGAAGGGTGTTGTCAGGAGGGTAGGAGAGGAGGTCGGGTTAGACGCGAAGGATGTCTTGTCTGAGGATTGAAAGATGAACATTTTAGCCAACGGCTGTGAGGCCGTCGACAGGAGCTCACAAGTACGATAACGGGCCGCTCACTTCAAGACAAGGGCAGAGAAATGGCCAATCCGTTAGACGGATCAGGGCCAAAGGATAGAATTCCCCAAGCCAAGTCAAGTTGAGCCACAATATACCCCACAGGTGCCATATACACGTTCATAGAACCAGTTATTGCATCACTTACTGCTGAGCATGAGTTAGTCAAGAATCAAGAAATATACCAATATTATCCGTGCCCATATGTCTATGACTGATCTACCGCTATGTCTCTCTCGTCCTCCATTTCCACCGTTTATCGGACATGCAACCCCTTTGTCTGCAGGGAAATTCCCAAGCCTAATCCCATTACCTGATCCACAGGCCAACACCACCCCCAACAGGCGAAGCACCCCCTTATAACCCAACTTAACTCCCCCTCCTTTCAAGCGGCACAGTGGCGCAGTGGACGTACCACTGTCTGGACAACCTGGCCAGGGCTTGGAATGAATAAAAGAGATCACCAATTCGACTCCCAGCAATCAACGACGATAAAAAATAAATTCAACTTCGAGCAACGGACAAGAACTAAACGACGACTTCAAGCAACCGACAAGAAATAAACAACGAATACATAACATAACATCAAAAAGTAAAATCAAGTGTTTTCTCCTCATCAAATTTCAAGACGACAAGATTTGATGAGTCTTTGGCACTCTTGACTTTTGATTAAGCCTTTTTTGCGTCAGGTTCACTTTACTTTTGTTATTCTCGGACTTTGAGGACATTTGTAAGACGCAGTGATAGGAGGCCAGTCTTCATACAAACAACCACCTCTAAATATTCAGTGCAACCCCCCCAATCCACTTAAACCCATTACAGTATTCTTCTTCTTCCGTCTTCTCTCCCCAATTCTTCAACGAAGCTCCCAAGGTTCTCTCGTCGTTCATCACCCCTTATATTACGCCATACTTTAAAGACAATCGACCATAGACTCAAGAGAATTAGGCATCCCGTCTGCCGCTGTGCCATACACAAGCTTGTAATTCAGTGGCTTGATGCTCTTAATCGTGTACTATATTATGAAGTTCATGCGATTTGAAAATTTAGAGAAGTGTTGAACTAGCAAAAGTGAATCAATCCACTTCTACTGTAGTTCTTATAGGCGGCTATATTATAACAAGAAGTGTTGTAAAATGGTCACATGACCTCAGTACGACCTTGCTTAAATATTAGGCAGCTTAGACAAAGAAGACACACATTACTCAATAGTTATAAGCCTAGAGTAAGACGCTTTCTAGATACTCTAAATTACTTGTATACACCTAGAACCCCTCCTAGGAGTTAATAACTATTATAATGGCAACCTTATAGAAGGTAGGGGTAGTCCTTACAAGCCTAAAATACTAGGATGAGTGGCTAGAGATGATCAAAACGGCTTCTATAAAGGCAGGGGTATAGGGGTATATTAATCCATCATTAGATGCCCCCCCTATCCTTCTTATGCTAGAAAGACCTATTCTAAACTTTGTACAGACTACTACATAGGTCAGAAGTGGTGTGGTTCCTTAGACCACTCTAAGGGTGTCTATAAGAGCAACTCCAAGCTAGACAGCCTAACCATCAATCAAAGCACCACAAACAAATGTTTCTATTATGTATGAATCTCTTATAGATGACTAGAAGGAAGAGCTTCGAAACCTACAAGCTGACTTCTAATATAACTGCAAAATATAGGAAAAAAAGAAGGAAGCAATTTAGGAGCTATAGTTAAGAATTTAAGAAACCATTAGATGGGAATTCCTACCCTATACCTATGATTGCAATACACTGTACAAGATGCTTATTAAGCTTAAAGACTGATTCGCTCCTACATTAAGAGCTAGGTTAGAATAATGGAGGATAGACTAGTCTAAGGCTATAAAAATGCAAAGGGGCGTAGACCTTTGTAATGGTGGGTGCACCAGATGTGAGAATCTAGCCACCCAAGGAAGGGATGATTTTACCAAGACAACACACTGTCTTAGGAAACAGAGCCAAAGGGTTGTAGCTTAGACTATTCCACAATGCAGCAATCAGGTGTATGATATAGTGGAGTGGTTTAGACAAGTTGTAACAAATGTTGAGTCTGAGAACTCAGGGATAAGTCAGAGGTTAGCACCTCACTGACTTTTCAGAAACAAGGAGTAACAAGATCAATGCTTGGAAGCTTGGAAAAGACGTGAAAGTATGTGATAGTCGATTTACTGTATTGTCTGCTTGCCCTTTCTTAAGGAAAGGGCAATCCTATTTATGCTAAAGGAGTGTAGTTCTCTCATTTTCCATGACTTTCCATGACTAACCAGGCTTGGTAACTGTAGTCGACGTAAGAGAATCCCATAGAACCATCTCCTAGGTTCCTAGCCTATAGGAAGTGAAAGGAGGTCCAAGGTCAGAGTACCCCTATAGACAGATTATGTCATAACTTAACCAATCTTGTGGGTAACTAATGAGCGATGACGTGTAATGAATCATAGAGGGTTGTAGAAGCTTTTGGAGCTATCGTTCATGTTCCTAGGCCTCTAGTTGATAGAGATATGTCATGTGTAGTATTAGCCCAGTAACTAAGGAGTGATGTCATGTAATGAATCATAGAGGGTTGTAGAGATATGCTATGTGGTTATATCGGCCCAGTAACTAAGGAGCAATGACGTGTAATGAATCATAGAGGGTTGTAGCAATCGTTGAGTAGTATTGCTCTTGTTGTTGGTGTGACAAGCCAAAATATGTATAGTGACTTGTAGGTTTGAGGAGGAGATTTCTAAGTTTGCTCTTGAGTTTGATAGCAAACTGAGTGCAACGAATGTCAGTATGACATAAAGTACTGGAATTAGCTTCAAAACCACCCTTATAGGCTTGGTTTCTAAGCTGTAGCTGCGAAAGAAATAGCAGACCTACGGAAGCAAGACACCTTTATAGTAGTGTAGGACAGCTCTATACGAAACTTTGTCATTCCACTCATGTGGGTGTTCACATACAAATTCGATGACAATGGTTACCTAGTGAAATATAAGGCTAGACTTACAGTAGTACTCGATTTATAATGAGATGTACATAGCTACGCTTACATCAAAAACCTTCCATGCCCTCATGGCTATTACTGCCTACTTCGATTTAGACATAGACTAATTAGATGCTATAAACGCCTTCATAAACAGCCGGATTGATGAGGAGGTCTATGTAAGGATGCCTCCGTACCTAGATACTCGAAGAACCTGTCTCAGAACTGTTACGGTCACTACAAGCATGGAATCCGACTCGGTGGGGTTTCGAACCAGTAGAGGATCATATAGCGAGTTACACTATAGTGGGGGACGGTAAGTGTATAGGGTTCAGGGCCGATGTAGACCTGTTGCGGTGGAAGGTTCAGGGCTAGGGTTGGGATAACCGAGTCGGGCCCGTTTCGGGAGTTAAGGAAACAGACTCAACGGGGTTCCCCCTTCATCTTTTTTGTATCCTTCGTAGTAGACCTATAGGATAGCATCCGTTTAGCCTCCGACTCGCACTCTCATATGCTATTACTGTGAGCTGGGTGCCCTGTGTCCTTACAGTCTATGTACGATGTGTAGACAGTTATAAGGAGCAAGGAAAGTGCTAGAAACTTAACAGGGCCCTCTATGGACTCTGAAGGTCACCACTTTTATGGTTCTGTGACTTTTCACAGACTCTTACCTCATTAGGCCTTATATAGGTTCTAGAAGCACAGTGCCTCTTTGTATCACCTATAATCATTATGTTCTTCTATGTTAATAATATCTGCATTCTAAGCCACCTAAGTAACACAATAGAGGCGACATAGTTGTACGAAGCTTATGGAGGCCTATTGTTACAGCTACGGTAATGTGATATCATGGTTACAGGACCAGGGCCTAGTAACGTGACGTGTTAGTCACAGGGGGCAAGCGGGGTAGGCTGCCATGTGACGGGGCTAATGGATAGTTGCAGAAACTAGTGGATATTGGATAGTTGAGCTATCCACAAACTATCCTGAATATCTAGCTATCCACCAACTATCCAGATTACCCATGAGGCACGACGCCACTATATAAGTAGATAGTATTTCCTTAGGTAGGAGCTTCGTGCTCAACTCAATATAGTATTCTTTACAATACTGTAACGTGTTACTTGGAAAGCCTTTGTGTCTAATCCCCTGCCTCCTCTGTCAAGTCAACCTTATGCAAGAAACCTCTGTGTCTTCTATCGTTTAGAAGTCAGCGTTACACCTATGAGTTCTGTGAAATAGGAGAACTACAATGGTTCCTAGGGATAAGAATTATAAGGGACTGGACCCAAAGGACTCTATAGCTATGCTAGGACTCCTAAATAGACAAGATCACAACTATGTACAGAGTAGCCTCGACAAGATCAACAAGAACGCCAATGGTTAACGACAGTCTATTACCATTTGACAGACAGGCAGACAAGCAACAGATCCACCTTTATCAACAGAAGGTAGGATTAGCAAACTACGCTACAGTTGTTATAAGACCTAATATAGCCTGTATGACACAGAAACTATCTGAATTCCTTGTCAACCTAGGCCCTACACACATAGAAGCAGTCGACTGGTTACTCCTATATCTGAAAGACACCTAATTCCTAGAACTTTCGTTTAGACTAAATATCAATGAGCCATGCCTCTAATTCTCTAGTGATGCATCATACGTAGATTGTGAACAGACTAGGAAGAGCACAGAGGGCTATTTGTTTACTCTCTTCGGAGGAGCTATAGACTAGCAATGTACAAAGCAGAAGACTGTGTCAACCTCAACAACAGAAGCAGAGCCCCTAGCCCTATCACATAGTGCAAAAAGCTCTATGTAATGCTGACTTCTAAACGATAGAAGAAATAGAGGTTTCTTGCATAAGGTTGACTTAACAGAGGAGTTAGGGGATCAAACACAAAGGCTTTCTAAGTAACATATTACTGTATTGTAAAGAATACTATATTAAGTTGAGCACGAAGCTCCTCTCTAAGGGAATACTATCTACTTATATAGTGGCATCATGCCTTATAGATAGTCTAGATAGTTAATGGATAGCTAGATAATCTAGATAGTTGATAGATAGCTTAACTATCTAATATCTACTAGTTTCTACAACTATCCACTAGCCTAGTCATGCTACAGCTAGTCTCATGACTTCTTAGGTCACATTACTAGAGCCTAGCCCCGCTAGCCCTGTAACTAACGTCATGTTACTATAGCCGTAACACTCCATT